CAGCGCTCCCGGCTCTGGCGCAGGCAGCTGCTCTCCCACCATTTGTTCCTCAGGTAGTCCAGGTCCCCCGACTCGCGCAGCTTGAGCACAGCGATGGACAGGGGCTTGGTCCAGGGGGATGCTTGGGGAGACAGGAGAGAGAGGAGGATGGCAGAGCCCCCAGCCATGGTTTAGTTAAACATTGCTAAAGGGGGCAGAGGTGTCACTGAACACAGCCCTGCTGCCAAAGGATTTTTCTGGCTAACAACAATCCTGCCTTGGCTAGAGGAGTGGTTACACCTGGGGGATAAGGGCAGAGCAAAGGTGCTTTGGGAAGAACATGAGCAGATTGTCCCCTGCTCTGCATTCCGGGGGCAAGGCTACCAGGAGATGGAATATTTGTGGATTAGAGTCCAAAATGAGAGCCAGTGTAACTCCCCACAGAGCAGTGACCCCGCCACACAGCGTTCTCAGTCTGGTCACCCTGACAGCAGTGCTGGCTCTCCCTGTTGGGTATCCCAGAGAGCAGAGGGGACAGGGACTCACCCTGGGTGGTGGCAATGCCAAAGCCACGGGCCCCGATGACCTCGGGGGCCCTGATGAGGTTGCAGTGGCGCGCGGCCGCCAGGTCCTGCGAGATGGACTCGCCGATGAAGGCGTAGTTGGAGTCCATCACGCGCTGCACGGCCTCCTGGTAGGTCTTGACCAGCACGTGCTCCCTCCTCTTCTCCATGTACTCATAGATCATCTGGTGGATGGGGTTCTTGGAGTTCTGCAGCACAAAAATCCAAGTGTCAAACTCAAACATCGAACCCAAGTGTCAAAAAATCCAAGGGTCAAACTCAAGGGTGAGGCAACCACCTATAAAATCAAAATCTGCCTGTATGTACAAGGGTTGTAAAACAGCTTGGAGAAGAAGAGCATTTAAACCATTTGTGAACCCTTGCAAGCACAGATTGTCCCCAACATTGGGGGACAAGCATGACACAAGTGTCACAGATGGCACTAAGGGGCACAAGGGCAGCCCCTGAAGAGTAGAGAGATTTTAAAGGAGAATTCAGAATAAAAATAAGAATTCTGTGCCTGCTTTTGTGTGGGAAGAGGTGGAGGAAGGGCTGAACAGAGCAATAATCAATAATAACCAACAATAATAAACAATATTATTTGAAGTATTCCAGGAAAAGTGAGGGAGTCAGCATGATGAGGGTGTTATTGGGGTTATAAGGCCTGAGCTGTGAGACAGCCCCAGCCCTGCAGTCCTACAGCCCCTGTGTGTGGGCACAAGGAGATTTCTCCGCACCTTGAAGTAGTAGAAGGTGGAGGAGCCCTCCAGGGTCCCAAACTCCAGGTTCCTCTGCTTGACCAGGTCCTCGAAGGTCTGGATGGGGAGCTGCTCGCTGCCGGAGCTCAGCAGGGCTGTGAAGTTGGCGATGTAGGCAGCCAGCAGGGCCAGGGTGAAGAGCCACCAGACCACAGCAATGACCCTCACCGACAGTGCCTGGGGCCTGGGGGTGGCACCTGCACCACAGGGAGCCAAAAAATCACATAAACCACACAGGAGGGGATGTGGAGCCAGAGATACACCAAGAAATGCAGATCCGAGTTACACAGACTTCACTGGAAATAAAGGCAAATTGGAAACCCTGCCTGCAGCTACACAGGGCCTGAGCCTGGAGGGTCCCTCTGTGCTGCTCTGGGCAGGGCACAAAGCTGCACAAAAATTCTCCTTTGTACAAAGCAGCCATGCCATGCTCAGCTGGGCATTGCCCCAAGCAATGGTTGCCCAGAGCAGAAAATATTCCCCAGTCAGATTCAATCACCTGTACAAGCCCAGCAGGTCTGTACTCACACCTTCCCAACCTGCTTTACTGCTCCAAGTGTCCCTGCTAGGACACATTTCCACCCCAGTGTTACAGAAGGAGCCGTGTGCACCATCATCATCCTCCCAGCTCACCCTGCAGGGCCAGTGCTCCTGCTCCAAACCAGAGGCTGTTCAGGAAGGTGAAGTGGTTCTCTTCATTCTTTGGCTCGTTCCACTCACAGGGGCTCAGTCTGTGGGAAAATGACAGGGTAAAACCAGACATTCAGAGGGAAAAAAATAAAAATAATCCCCATCAAGAGATCCTCACGGGGAGATCCCACTCATACTGCTGGCTTAATCTGACAGGGTTTAAGAATTCTTGTACTAGAGCTGTACAGGAGGTTCCTCAGAGCAAAACGAAAAAAAAAGAAAGCAAAAATCCTGGGATTTTCTGAGCTGTTCATAGGTGAGAAAGGCACTGACTTGAACACAACCTGTGAAAGAAATGCATTTGTACCTGGCAACAAGGAAGAGGCAGAAGCAGGTGAGCAGGTAAGCAAACAAAAGAGCTGTCCAGGTCTCCTTGCTGAAAGGGGACAGGAAGTGGAAGAAGGACATGTCCTGCGAGGCCGTGTCCTTGCGGAGCAGGATCCCGATGCCGGTCTGCAGGAAGGGGGTGGTGAAGGACACCACCTCCTCCCTGGCTGAGGTGACAGTCAGGGGAGCCACTGCAATGTCAGCTTCCTGCCAAGGAGACAAAAGCAGTCAGCCACCAGCCCAGGGAGCATTTCTGTCCCTCAATCATTTCTGTCCCTCAAGCAGGTGGCTCCCTGGCTGCATAGGCAGGTGCTCCATTACTTAACTTAGAACTTCCTAATATTTTACTAGATACACTTTTTTGTAATTTAAAGTGTTATTTTAGACAAGTATCAATACACAAACCATTATTCTATTTGTCCTTACTTTTCGATTTCTTATAAATTTTTTCTACTGCCAAATCTTACAGTTACAGCTTAGCTCTAATCATAGTTCTACTGGCTCTAAAGCCAGCCTTTTGCAGCTTTCCCAAAACCCTCTCATTTTAAAGATTCCCACAGAAATGGCATCAATCTCCACTCAACAGCCTTGGGATGTGACCTCCAAGGAACAGGACAGGTTTCTCATGAATGTGTATTTATATTTTTAGGTATTCAATACTCTTATATACTTATAGATAAAAGGACTCTGTAATCACCTGTAAATTGCAGTGTGTATTTGGGAATTATCTCACAATAAACACACACTTTCTAACTTTAAACTCTCAGAGAGTTTTTGGATATTGGCACTAGATCAATATCCATATTGGGAATGGGATGTACCAAAGTTATGAATATGTACTT